ACATCTCAGCTGGCGCAGTTTGCACTTCCAAGAGGCAGAAGGCTCCCACGTTCACTTCAGCTCCCCCCTTCTCCCGGCCGAAAGGCAGGGAAATTACCCCAAATTCGGGCCGCCCCCGGATCACAGGTGGCCCCGGCGGCGCCCCACGGATCGCGGCGCGGCGCTGCCCCCTGGCGCGCAGTGGGACGGGTTGCGGGTGAAGACACGTGAGGGGAAAGTCCTCCCACGTGTCGCCCGTGAATAAAACACTGAAGGGTTCGCGCGTAGCCCTAAACTTTGCTATCCCACTTTGGGTGGAGCCGGTTCCTTCTCAAGGTAAGGTAGCGGCGGAAGCAACCAGGTATGAAACATAATCCTTAGGGCCACGTCCATACGTTTGGAAAGTAGAAGCCAGAAGGATGAAGACTTTCTCAAAATGTAAATAAATCTATCGGCTTTGAAATGGTAAATGGATTGGAGACGCAGGGAGAAATGCTGGTTCCAATGCCCATCCCTCCCAAGTCTTGCCCCATCCCTGGAAGTGTTCACGCCAGGTTGGATGGGGCTTTGAGCAACCTGGTCTAGTGGGAGGTGTCCCTGCCCATGGCAGGGGGGTTGGAACTAGATGATCTTCAAGGTCCCTTCCAACCTATACCATTCTATCATTCTAAATGAACCGTAAAGAAAAGAGAAGTGCGGGACAGAAAGCAAAAAGAAGAGAAAGGAGAGCATAACAGTAAAAATGTGAGGAAAAGAAAATGAATGAAAAGACTTTATTTGTCAAAGACATTTTACTTCATCATCTGTATGGACTAAGGACACGTAGCAAGTTATTGCAGGTCGGATGATACCTGGAAACTCATCAAACCTCTGTAAAATTGCTTCGGCTTGTTGGCTCCCATCATACAAAGTGGGAGAAATTTCACAGCACCCTGTACATTTCCTCAAAAGCAACCGGGGCAGATTCTGGAATGAAATGACTGGATGAACAGGCTCTACTTAATTGGAAATGTACAGCTGCTGTAACACCTTAGCATAGCTTCATTTTCTGCCCTCTTCACCATTCTGCCATCTGATTCCCTATTTTTTTCCTGTGTTGTGGCTCAATTATCCCCCCTTCTACACTCACCCTTTAATGATCTCTGAGAAGTGCACAGATCTCTTTTCTTGTTCTTGCATTTGGTTGTTCCACAGATATTCAAGCTACAGGAATGAAAAAAAGTGAATGAAGGAGAAGGTCACAAAAGAAACTTCTCGTAGAGTTGATGAAGATCAGATCACACTGCAGTTTGGACTATGTGAAAAAACCACCCTAATTCAATGTACTGTAGAGCTATACAAAGAGAAGACAGGAAGACAGCTGGATAACTGGTATGGTGGCCAAACCTAGTAGACCAAGAAGAGCCCGCGCTCTCAGATCAAGACTCTGATTATAATCAGGCCAGTTTTTATAAAGTCTACAACATTCCAGTCTTTATTCTCATTGCAGGAAGTCACAAGCCTGGGAGATTAATCACTTTGTAATGTTTTCGTAGTTGAAACAGAGGTGCTGTTGTGATGCTGTAACTGTAAAGTTGTTTTGTGTCTCAACAACGGCATAAGAGATCCATCCATGGATCACTTGTTTAATCACTGTTACTACAAAATGAATGCATGAGAAGTTTCTTTAGTATAATGTAAGTAGGGGGTGGGTGAGTATGGGGGAGTACCTGTTAGTGCCGTCCTAGCTACAGCAGTTCTGGAAGAAGAGAAGACTCTCAGTCCTGGGGAGCAATGAGCACGCTCTGTGAGGAGACCCTGTTAGTGAGGAGACCCTGTTAGTTTGCAAGAGAGCTCAGCAAACGGGAGACTTAGAAGAATGGGGAGCAGCCACACAGCCAGGTTTCTGCAGAGACTGACAGGATGATTTTTCCTACACTCCCAGGGTGAATTTTGTAGGTGTTGAATCCAGGCAGCCAGCGACAAGTCACTGGACCAAGAGGGAGCCTGAAGGAGAGATACTGCCATGAAATGACACAGGGATCACAAGACAATCTGTGTACAAATGCATTTATTCTTTCCTATCTATCCTTTATATCTCTTGTCTCATACAGAATAGAGAAAGTTCATCATTCTAGTTTATGACCTAATAAAACTTACAGAGTTTACAAATCCTTGTTAGTGTTCTTGGTGGGACTGCAGTAAGAAACACCATGGGCAAACCCTTTCCCCTTCCTCCTAGTCCCTGCACGGCTCAGACCAGAGTCCCATCACAACTGGAAACAACCCCAGGTTTAGAGCTGCACAGCCGGGCAGAGGACACAGCCTTTGGAACAGCTCTGTTCTCATCACCTTTATTTGGGCTTGATGCTGAGGAAAAACTCTCCTTGAAGAAGCACTGCCACCAATAACACTGATTCATATAAACACCGGAGTTAT